TCAGGAGGCCAGGGTGTCTGTGGCCAGCTCGACGTCACTCATGTCGGGGGTCACCTGAAATGGCCTGAGCGTTCTGCAGGGGAAACGGGCTCCCGAGCTCCATTTTCGGCTGCGACAGCCTCCTGCAACCCTCTGCCAACCAAAATGAAGCTTGGGAGCGCCACAGGCAGCCCTCGCAAGGCCCATTTTTGCTGGCAGAGGCACCGCGGGCCGGGCCTTCACTGTTTCCTGGGCAGCCCCATGGGCCAGTTCTAAACACCCTACGGGCCGGGTCCAAAACCCCCCCCCCCCCGGCCCTGAGTTTGACACCCCTGCTCTAATGGAACAAAAGGTACTTGCACGGCAAAAAGACTCACACATCAAAGCAGAAAAAGGGAGGGAAATCTTCCTGTTGCAGAAGCTTGCAATGCATGCATCTAATACTGTTGCAGAGTCTTTATTCTACGTTATGTGCAAGGCAGTTTTTTCATTATTATACAGCATATGGCCATTTCCCCCCAATTTGGATGCTTTCCAAATGTGTGGGCATTGACCAGCGGGACAGATGGGAATTCTAAAGATTAGAATCTAGAATAAGAAATAATGTGGCCCTCACAAAACGATTTGATTTATGTGTCTGTTTGTTTAGCAAATATGTTATCTCCACCCATCTCACATAACGTGACTCTGGGCAGTGTACAAAGACAGCTATGTTTAAAACAGTGTAGCCAATCGTATAACAGTGAACGGAAATCAAAATGCAAATGTGAAAAAAAATCCCAAAAGAATAACCATCACCTAGATTCCACAAGATTGCTGGATAAACCATGTTTTAGAGCAGGGGTTGCCAACCTTTTGGACCTCAAGGACCACCAAACTCATAATTTTAAATCCCGCAGACCACTAAGATGAATTTTGACTGAAGGTGGTGGGAAAGTCGGTCCCATATTCCAGAGCTGCAGTAGTCACAGGACCACCCAGGTGCACTGGCCTGCCATGGACTGGAGGAGCTGCTCCAGGATGACCAAAGGGCCAGTCCTGTGACTACCGCAGCTCTGGAATATGGGACCGACTTTCCCTCCAACGTCAGCAAGACACCCCGGGATGGATTTCCTTCCCCCAACATTGGTCTTACCTTCCAGTTCCAGCTCTATTCAAGGTCAGGTTTGTGCTCAGCTGAAGGGTGGGGGCCAGCGGGTGGGCGGGCCACGTGGGCAGCGCAGCCTGGATTAATTGCTTTGGGGGGAGTGCTGGGGGTGGGTGGGAACGACATTTCTCTGCAGACCACCAAAATTTTCTCACGGACCACCAGTGGTCCCCAGCCCACTGGTTGGTGACCCCTGTTTTAGAGGATCTGATGGAAAGCTAACAGGGATGGGCCCAATCTCGCCTCGAGGGGAATTCTGACTGGAAGGGGTTGATGTATAATTTGCTTCATGCCATGCCTGCTGAGGCTGATGCACGACCATCTTCTCCACAACCTTCCCTAAAAGGGAGGTGAGACACAGGACGAAAATTGTCCAGCAATGGTTTCTTGAGGATGGTGGTGGATTGTCCAGACATGATATTCTTCCGATTAAAATCGGAATTCCGATTTTTTTGGGAATCGCCCCCCCTTTCCCCCCCTTCTCCTCCTTCCCCTCCCCTCGGAGGCCCTGAGTCAGGAGTTGCTACCGCTGGCGCGGCTCTGCGTGGCTCCAGTCCCGCGTTGCCTCAGGAAGGGAAAGGCAAAAAGGAAGAGCCGCGGCGGCGCTTTGCAACGGCAGCAGCGGCTCCTGGTTTTGCCTTTCCCTTCCCGAGGCAACGCGGGACTGGAGCCGCGCGGAGCCACGACGGCGGTAGCAACTCCTGACAGCCCCAGCCGGATACCTGAGCGGAGCCCGGGCGGACGGTGCAAGCGGAGCCCGGGCGGGCGGGCGGTGCGAGCGGAGGCCGCTGAGCGGCAGGAAAAGGGAGCGCGGTGGGGGGTCTCTTTTGGCCGGCCCCGATTTTTTTTTCAGAGGGGAATATCATGCCTGATTGTCCTTTTTTCAAAGAGCAATTAATGACCGCTGGAATCTAACCTCTCTATGCTCCCCCCTCTCTCCCCTCCTCCCCCCCCCCACCCTGACTGGCCAGGAGGGGCATAGAGGTAAGGAACAGGCGGCTGAGCTCACAGTCATCATGGCCCTGTTCCCTTCCTCAGGTCCAAGAGGTTCAAACTGCTTCCAGATAACTGGGCAAGACTGCACCCCAGCCCCTCCCATCACATCTATATCCAAACCAGCATCCAAATGGGAATAGATTCAAGTACAGGTAGTCCTTGACTTACAACTATTCACTTAATGACTATTTGAAGTTACAGCAGCCGTGAAAAAAGGGGGGTTTAAGACTGTTTTTCATATTTACAACGGTTGTAACATCCCCATGGTCGTGTGATCAAAATTTGGCTGCGTGGCAACCGGCATGTATTTAGGACGGCTGCAGTGCCCCTGGGGTCACATGATCCCCTTTTGCAACCTTCTGACAAGCAAAGTCAATGGGGAAGCCAGATTCATTTGACAACCGTGTTACTAACTTTACAACTGCAGGGGTTTACTTAACAACTGTGGCAAAAAAAGGTCATAAAATGGGGCAAAATTCACCTAACTCTCTTGCTTCGAAGCAGAAACTTAGGGCTCAGTTGCTAAGTTGAGGACTACCTGTAATGTTGTCCAATAGATCAGGGGTGTCAAACTCGATTTCATTTGAGGGCTGCATCAGGGTTTGGTTTGGCCTCAGGTGGTGTGGCAGGGGGGGCATGGCCAGCTCACTGTCACTCGGGTCGGGGGGGGGGGGCACCTGTGGTGGCCACAAGTGCTAAGGCAGAACTTCCCTCAGACCCTCCCTCTCATAATCCTTCCTTCTTTCCTTTTCTCCTTTTCCCTTCCCTCTTCATTCTCCTTTCTTCTTCCTTCCCCTCTTTCCTTTTTTTCTTACTTGCTCTCTTCCCTTCTTTTTCTTTGTCTTTCCCTTTCTCCTTTCCTGGCCCTTCTTGGATGCTCAAATGCAAAAGGGGAAACATTTTGTTTTGTTTCCAGTTTGTTTTGCTAGCCCTCTTCCAGCGAAAAGTGTGCGGCCCTCCTGAGCTCCGTTTTCGCTGGCAGAAGCACCGCAGGTTGGTCCTTCACTGTTTCCAGATCTAAGCACCCTGCAGGCTGGATGCGGGCCACAGGCCTTGAGTTTGACACCCCTACAATAGATGATCTGCAAATTCCTCTGCATAACCCTGTTGGTAAACTTCTGAGTACCCCTTTCCCAGGAGAACTTGTGTCAGGGGGAGGAGGAAGAGGAGGCTCTCTGTGGATGCAATAAGGGCAGAGTATTTGCTACCCTTAACTGCCACACGGTAGGCCTTAATAGTGGCTCCAGACCTGCCTATCCCCAGTCTCTCATATACCTGTCCTTTCCATGATGTTCCCACCTTGAGGTCCCTACTTTCCACCCTCTGGTTCTCATAACAGGATCCCAACATAGTCAAACACACATCAGAGGGCCAAGAAACGGAATACTGGGCTATTCATTCAATTTCTATAGCCGCCCAAGTCAACCAAGTGACCTTGAGTGGCTTACAATTCTAAAATTATAAAACATTTTTTTAAAAAATGTAAAACAATAAAAAGACACCCACAAGTAAATAAACAGAGCAGCAGCCAAGCAAAACCAAGTAACGGGGCCTCTAACGCATTCCGAGCCTCAGGACTGGGTACATAGATAAGTTTTTAAAGCTTTGCAAAAAACCAACAGGCTTGGGGCCATTCTAACCTATCACCAACAAACAGCAACAGGGTTTTGCTGCAATGGAGCCTGAACGTCTTTGGATGCATCATGTTTTCACAAATTTGGGGCTTGTACAGCATATCTGGTCCAGTTCTGGGATGGCGATATCTATATCTTTGGGATATTAATGATACTTCATTTGAAATCAATGTATGTCCTCTCCTGGTGGTTTCATATAGATGTTAAATATCCTTGGTCCTTGGTGCTCTCTGAGCTTGCTTGCTTTTTTTGTAGACGTTTCGTTACCCAAACTAGGTAACATCATTAGTGCTAGTGTTAAGTAGCATGAAGGAGAGGATCATGCCTTGTGGCACCCCATTTTGGGACAGCCACAATCACTTTGGGTGTTCCATGCTCTCCAACTGGAGTCTCCCAGTTAGGAAGGAATGGAGCCATGCCTCATTCCCATCCCTTGTAGATATTGCAGGTGGTCCAGAGAGACAGACCATGGTCAGCTGAAACCTGACTGAAAAGGTTATTAGATCAGTGGTGAGCAACTATGGTCCTTTACAGCCTGTGGACTTCAATTCCCAGAATTCCTGAGTCAGTCAGCTCAGGAATTCTGGGAGTTGAAGTCCACAGGTCTTAAAAGGGACCAGAATTGTCCATCCCTGTTTCAGATGATACATTTCCTATAGAACCCTCTGAAACTGAAGCTCCATTACCAGAAAGGAAAGGTTGGGGGTTGGCCAAGAATTGTCCAAGGTGGCTGGAACTTTGATTGATGTAGGTCAACAATTTCTGGAGGGCTCTATGTGATTTATCCATCAGCATGTAATTGTCCTCTTCAGCAACTGCTACTTTTGTAATGTCATAAGGCTACGTTTGTCTGTCCCACGTGTTTAAAATCTTTGTGCAGAAATGTTTCTGAATGGTCGTGTTCTTTCCCCAATCTATGTTTTTCTTCTACAGTAGGATGGATAGGGATCTAGGATGGACAGGGCTATAAATGCATTATTTTCTCTATTCTTTTTTTCTCCCACTCCAAATTATCCCCCCTTTTAAGAATTCTGTTTCTGTTAATCACTGAGAACACTGACTTGCCAGTATGTAACTTCTTATCAACAGAATTTGAGCAAATCAATCCTAGAATCAACAAAATATAATGATAAAACCTTGCAAGCACCATTTTGGGGTAGAAAAGAGATAGCCAAATTCCTTTCTGAACTTAGAAAAATTAGATGAGCTTGACTTTGCATTAATTCTTGTTTTTCTTCTTGCAGCAAACCTCTATCCTAGGGAGTGTCTTTGGTGACTCTTGTTATGATCAGCAGATGACTGCCAGGCAAGCAAATGCTTTATCCCATCAGGTGAGTGGGAAATGTACTTCATTTATGTACAGGTAGTCCTTGACTTACAACCAATTCATTTAGTGACCATTCAAAATTACAACGAGTGACTTACGACCAGTCCTTGCACTTAACCATCATTGCAGCATCTCCATGGTCATGTGATCAGGATTCAGGTGCTTGGCAACTGGCTCCTCTATAAATATGACGTTTGCAATGTCCCAAGGTCAAGTGATCTCCATTTGCGACCTTCCCAGTTGGCTTCTGTCAAACAAAGTCAGCGTGGAAGCCTTGCTTCATAACTGAAATTCTTGTTCCATTTGTGATTGTAAATCGAGGACTATTTGAGCAACCAAGCAACCTGGTCTAGAGCAGGAACGTATCAACCATCTCAGCAGATAGTTGGTCAACAGAGAACTAATTTCACGAAGTGCCATTCTGATTTTGCCTCTTTCCAAGCAGCTTCCATAGGGATTCCTCTTCTTTCCTGCATTGAATTCAATACTGAATTTTCCCAGTGCTGAAATCCTGAAAGGGTTGTTTATTGTGAATTCTGCAATATAATGGGGAAGTAGATTTCTCGTAAGGAAAAGAGATTCTTTACTGCTCCACGTTCTCACGCGCACACTTTTTGAGTAAATCTATTTTAATTGGAGAGTGTGATTAAATTAATCCATTGGCAATTTTGGAAGATAAATGTCACACAGATTATTTCAGAGGTTCACCTATCTCCCTAAATTAAAATGAATGGCCTCTTGTTTCTTAAGTCAACCTTTTTTTTTTTTTAGATTTCTACAGTTCTGAGATTATTGGTGTCTTGCTGCAGCTGAACAATAGAATTATCTTTTAAATTTAAAAGATAATCTGAAATATTTCTTACAAAACAATTATCAACAATTATCAACAATTATCTTTTAAATTTAATTTAATTTGAAATATGATAGCATATGTCACTGGCTAAAACCCATTCATTCTGCTATCTCCGTCTTGAAGGCTTTGAAGTGCAAATCTCATGGTTACAAACTTTTGCACTTTTCTGTTTCTTCTGATTCCCATTCTTTGTGCATCACAAGAGTGAATATGCAAAGTATGAATGCAAAAAGATAAACAAGATTAAAAATTGACCTCGATTCCTGGGATTACATAGATCCATCCATGCAATTTGTGTGGCATCAACGTGGATATAGATTGTTCTTGCCTCGTGCAATTCCTTCCCACCCCAAATTTCCTAATCTAGCTCAGAGCTCTGGAAACCACTGGCGGTTTTTCATCCAAGTACTGGTGAGGCCTGATCCTTCTTAATTTACAAATCCAGACAAGGTCAGCCAATGCTGAGAAATAAACAGGATAGAAGAATTTAATGGAACAAACAGGAGGGCAATAATTCAAGGTCTCCTGTCCAGCTGTGGGGGGTTGCTGCCCTCTGGTGGGAAGATGCAGAAAGTAAGGATACCTGCTAGACCAGGGGTGTCCAACCTTGGCAACTTTAAGACTTGTGGACTTCAACTCCCAGAATTCCTCAGCCAGCAAAGCTGGCTGAGGAATTCTGGGA